AATGGAAAACACATGAAGAGAAAAGTAGCAAAAGGTGTATTTAAATTGTCATCCTAATTATATAAGGAAGACGTAAATCGAGTTGCCAATAAGTAATTTTGTCGCCAGATACTCTTGAGTACTAATCACTTTCTTAATGAGACAGGTTCTCTTTAACTAGCAGACTGAGACCTTACCATCAAGTGACAATAAATTCTACATATGTGTATTTAAGGCTTTTTTATAAAGTTATTACAATCACCTAATATATGAAGTTTCATATCATTTGAAAGTTGGGAATTCAATGTCAATCGTGTGCTTCATTACTACAAGATGATACGACTATAAAATAGAAAATGAAAATTAAATAAATCTTCTGCCAAGACAGCTAGTTGGGAGATTATCTTAACCTAGACATCTACGTTTTAAGCTAACCTAAGTTACTTTCTGTTGGAACGGAGTATTAGTGACTCTGTTGGTTGTTGTCTAACTTGACCACAATGCTCCTTCAGACACGACACTATAGCCAACTATTATTATTATATTATTGTTCCATTGGGTTCCAATTGGAACATAGGCCTTCTACAACACATCACTTTCTTCTATTCTCTGCCATAATCTTCACCTGGGTTCACGATTGCCCAGACTCTCATCTCTTCCTGACACGATCTCCCACATGTCACCCTGGCACAAACGACCTGCTCGTCGCTTTCCATTTGGATTCCAGTTCAGCGATGGCCTGCATCGCGTGCCATGTCATCCGATGGCCTCCTCAAAGTATGCCCGATCTATCTCTATTTTCTCCAGGCGATCGGCTGTCGCTTGTTGTTTTGTTCCCAGTCAGCCAGAGTTTCTTGTTGCTAATTCTTTCTGGCCTGCTATTTGATATGGAGTATGGAGCCAGTCAGCGAAAGTGGCGGCTGTTGATGAAAGTCTGCATTAGTCTGTTGGAAATCCTTTTCGTGACACGCAGTGTAAATTTCTGGCCCGTGTTGAAGAAATGACTGACAGACTTTACATTTGTGTTGAAAATCCAAATCTTATTCTATATGGCAACTGAGTGTAGAAGATTTCCTAACTGGTTTCGGGCTGATGAAAGTGTATCTTGCTTTGCCTTTCCGATTCTGGCCTGCTTTAACATCATGATGTGAAGAAGGTAACCTCAAATCACTTGAAAATATTACCCACACTGAGGTAGACACAAAAGTCGGATTTAACTGTGATCATAACAACGTTTATTATGCCCAATACGGAGTATAAGACGATATATATATATATATCGTCTTACATATCAACGGAAGTTTAAATCATAAAGAGATAATCAATATCTGACTGACTGTATGACCTTGAAGATCTTCCAAAATAAATCAATCTAGAGTTGTCCAATCAGGTTGTTATTTCAAGGCAAGAATCGATCATAACTTCACGGCTAACAACGATAGTTAGTTCGTCCTTTCCACAGTCATAGCAACATTGCAGGTGTTTTATGTCAGTTTAATTACCGCTGTAGAATTCCTACACTTTACTCTTAGAAGACCAACTTTATTTCCATTGCATGAGTGAAAAGTTCAAAATTTCTGAAGTCTTAAGTGAAGCAAGACTTACATTAGGCAACACATAAAAGTAATAACCACGCGTGTCTAACTTAAGCCATTATTATACTGAACTGTGAAATCAATATTTTTTTTCCTTCATGTTCCCCAGTGGAACATAGGGCTTCAAGCTAGAGGCTTGAAGTTTCTGTAGCAGTCGTGTTTATTTTACAGGATGGGTTCGCTAGCCTCATGCCCAATCTTTCCTCTTCACTGGCATTATTTCTGGCTTAGCGAGGTAAAGGAGTGCGTCGGCCGGAGATCGAACCCCGGACCATGTGCATGGTCGGCAAGCTTCCTAACCGCTATGCCACCGACACACGAAATCAATATTAATAAACATTTAGTCTAACCATTTTACACTGTGCATTTTAAACAATCTATAACACTCAAAACTTAATCTGATGCACACTGGAGACGAACTACAGAAAAGACGTTGCCTGGAATTCTGCTGAGAAGTTGTGACCGATGGAGTCCACTATGTCGGGCGTGAGGCCAAATACTCGGTGATGACATTGGCTGCTGATCGCAATACACGTCGCATAATCAGATAAGTTAGAATCCATATGACAGGGGAATTCATCCTAGTAACTGAATGGTCAGCCAATTCGTTAACCCTAACCTGAAGCTCCTGGGTTCGACCCCCGACAGGGTCACAAACCAGGTCGAAGCAACTGTCCAGCACTCCCCAGTGGTTTTCAATAGTTCTCTAACTGATATCGATACGTGATGAAATTTCAAAATAATAGTATGAAACTTCATATATTTATTCCCCTTACTGAATATAAATAAAGCAAGAAGAACAGTTTGTGCAAAATAAAATGATGCCATCATTGTTGATTTCGTTGGCTCCTCATCAGCTTAGCTGCTTACAGTCCAAAGACATTATTAAGTATATCTACAGAAATAACTTTTTTATACATACAATGCTAATAATAATAAGGCATCATCACTCACTGAGAAATTCCACACTTGTACTGAAAATACGGTGTGGAATCAAGCTGTAAATCAAAATCAAATAAATAAAAAATGCAGGCACATCCAGATGACGAGTCCCAAACAGGACGAAATGTGCATCCTGGATTCCACTGCTAGTCACCATCCACCAATTAAATACTAATTAAATGCCCAGACATTGTCGAAGCATCTACTCAAGAAGCCTATATGTCGACCTGAGACCGAGCACTTCGGTCCAATCTACCGACGGGAAAAATCTAAAATTCAATTAAATCAATATGACCCGTTGCACAAGAGGTGGCTCTCGTGGCCCAAGTGGTCTAGTGGATAACGCTTTAGCGTTGGAAACTTTGGGCACTGGGTTCGAGCCTCGGTGGGAACATCATCACTCACTAAGAAATGCAGGTGCATCCAACTGACGAGTCCCAAATGGGACGAAATACCCATCCTGGATTCCACTGCTAGTCACCATCCACTAATTAAATTACTTTATCCCAAACAATAATAATCACACATAATGGGTTTTTTCTTGCGTTATGTAATCAGATGAAAGAGAGGATGAAAACATTCAGTTATCTGACTGTAGCACTCACTAAATGATGCGGGTTCAAATCTCAGGTAGGATATGAGTCCTTTGAGGACTGCTGATACGCCTTACTGACTGGTGAATGCCAACAAACACGAAACCTAGTTGAGGCAAGGCTTCCTTCTGATTACCTCTAACCATCTGTAATACCAAGATTTTCTCTTAATACAGTATAAAGCATTCTTAGGGAATTGTGTTCAGTAAAGTGAACTACCTATAAATTCATCACACACTTCAATGTATTTCGAATCCAGTTTCTATGTGAACTTCGAATGAGTCTATCGAATACAGAAGATGTAGCTGTTTGGATAATATTGAAACAATAGCTGCATTCACAGTGTAATGCAGAGTATGTTTATGCACTGGATAATATTTAGTCTTTCTCAACCCCTAGAAGAAAGCTGTTTCGACTTTATGAATTGATTTACACGGAATTTATATGGTGTATACTCCCCAACTTCTTTTACCTGCCTGGGAAGCATCGTTTCAACTACAGGCGAATGAAACTGACGAGGATATCAAAGCAAGAATCGGAAAAGCAAGACAAGCTTTCACTACTCTCAAGTCTGTGTGTAGGTCAACAGCACTCAGCATCAAAAATAAGATCCGGATTTTCAACTCCAATGTGAAGTCAGTCAGTGCTACTATACGGATCAGAGACTTGGCGCGTCATAAAGAGCACCTCAAACAAACTACACACCTTCATTACCAGTTGTCTTCGCTCAATACTACTCGAGATCAGATGGCCAGGAAAGATCAGCAACAGAGAGGGATCTCTGGCAATGAGCGAACCAACCAGGGACCGATTGTGAAACAAATAGGCAGGAAGAAATGGAGATGGATTGTCCATACTCTGAGACAATAAACCATCAAGTGACATCACTAGACAAGCCATTGCTCGAGTGGAACCCGAAAGGGAAGTGGCGAGTTGGTCGTCCGAGGGTCACTTGGAGGAGGCCATGTGAAGAGGAGATGAAAACGTGTGGGCAGACTTGGAGCCAGGTGAAGACTCTAGCAGAGAACAGAACGCAATGGAGACGCACGGCTGAAGCCCTATGTTCCTCTAGGAATTAAAGGAAACAATAATGATAATAATACTTCCCACAAAAATAAGATCCTGTGATTGTTTTTAAGGCGCGCCTTGCTGATGAGTGCTGACAAGCACGAAACCTAGGCTTCCTGCCGATTACCTGCAACCATCTAATACCAACAATATGGAAATATATATTCATGTTAGAAAGTCTGTCAAAAACTTTGGCTACCAAAATACTACATTGATTATATCACACATATATTCCTCTTGTTCACTTTGTTTTAGTCTATTGAAACATGACATCTAAGGGTGTTTTCTACTCTCGTAAGTATTTGAAATGTCTACAGCCTGCAGATTCACAAGTTTATACTAAACTTGAGAAAAAGCGAAATCACGGATGGCAACGTAGATGGGATAACTGTCCCTGAGACTTTCAGGACAAATTACCAGTCAGTCACTACCTGAAAAATCAAACTAACTACCTACAGTTTTCAATTATTCAGCTATGATTATATACTTGAGGCAGATAAATGTACTCCTGCACCTTTCCCAATCAGCTTTAAACCAAATGTTGTGTATGTCTCAAAAGAGTCGAAGGGTTATCACTAAAGGGATTGGTCTGTGCTTTAGGTTAAACAGTTGTATATCACACGATTTACTGTCACTTACTATTTTATTTATTTGAAGATACTGGACAAAGAGAGACTATTGAGCAATAATTTACCGTTGAAAACTCTGTACGTTATAGAAACACTGTTTAGAATAAAACTATTAATAATATTATCATTATTATAAACATAATTCATTTACTATATAGATTATATTTTGTTAAAATAGGCAAAATGAAACTTACCCAGCACATGCTACTCCACGTCTTGATAACCTTGAACTGCTAAACTGCCCATCTTTCTGATTCTTCTGTATCACATCGGCATTATAATCATTTAATGATTGTACAGTATCACTTGACTTATGAAATTTCTCTTGAGTAATCACTCCCGGGATTGATGGTGGTGATCCGTGATGAGTAGTAGTGATTGTTGCTTTATGCGGTGACCTGTTTTTTGTTGATGTTGTTGTTGTTGTCGAATTCAGTGTTTGTTTACTATCTCTATGATCAAATAATGAACCGCTTATAAGACTGTTTGTTGTTGTCGTCAGACTGACACCGCTTCCACCGCTTTTTCCACCACCATCACCACTTCCCCCAGTACCTGTACCTGTACTCATTATTGATTCAATATTCTGCGCAGCGGGGAATAACTCATTCGATGGAGAGGAATGATGGAAGGAAGGCGGAGTTTTTAATTTTGTGGTGTGTTTTAAAAAAGAAGAAGAAGAAGGATTCATTGGAGGTTTTGAGTGTGAATAGGATGATGAAAAAGACATGAGTGAGTCTTGTTCAGAGATGGCCAGTTCTGCTTTCCGCTCAACAATCTGTAATTGAAAACAAGAAGAAAAGTATTATCAAGCAGGTGAGTGAGAGAATATTCCTTTTTTCTGATAAGTTCGTCATCACGTTCTACATCTATATGGCCATAATAATTAAAGAAATATTTTTATTAACAACATTATTGCTGTTTTGAATTACACTGAGTGAATCAGTAGTATCTACAGATTACATTTCAAAAACACCAGTTAAAGGGAGATAATATGCATCACATATAACACTAAGCTGACTGAATATCAGAGAAATTAAGGCAAGTAACACAGGGTTTTTAAATTTATTGGTTTCACAATAGGCCAGAGTAACAATAGTGGCTGGTTGGACCGGTCTCTGGCATGCACAGCTCCGGTTGATTTAAGAGCATTGCTACGGCCTTTGATGTTTTTAATAATAATAATGATGATTTACTTTATTTCAAAAACAGTACTTTGATACAGAATGGAATTTTCAGCATTAATCACAATATTGCATCTAATTTCCTCAAATTATGAATAAATTAATCACACAGAAAATTTTTCTACATTTACAATAGGGTTAATATAAAAAAAATAAAAAACATGCAGCATATAAAATGGAAATAATAATAATGATAGCAGCTAAGGTAATGATAATAATACAAGTGGAAATTGCCATGGGCTTGTTTCACACAGTACTGTCGATGCGGTATACAAATCCTTGCATGATTAAAAATATTGAATATGATGTTCTCTTTACATGATATGGTGAGGGAAAAAACAAAGATTACAGCAGTCATAGAGATAAGTTGGTATTTGCAGTTATGAAAGTGAAAACAGGTAGTTGGAGGCAATCGGCCACAAGAAGCCTTGCACCTAGATTTCGTGCTTGGTGGCACTCACCAGTCAGCAAGGCGTATCTGTAATCTTGAAGGACCTCATCTCCCTTCTGAAATTCGAACTCGTGTCACCCAGTGCTGCTTTCAGAGACATTAGTTAGTGTTTAATTAAAAGTATCTAATACAGTCCGAAAGGAGGTCAATAGCTAGCGCGGATAGCTCAGTGGTGGCAACGTCTCTGACTGCAGCACTCACTGGGTGACACGGTTTCGAAACTTGGAAAGGACATGAGTTCCTTCAAAATGGCCTTAGATATTTGGAGTGTGCGGTATCTAGAGGGCTTGGCCGTTGCTCAATGAACTTAATTTTTTCTTGTCTGGAACATCTGGCACTGTGGCTGCGTGAAGGTATTATTAAAATCATCAACAGTTCTACAATAGATCACGTCGTCGTCCAAACATGTCACAAAACTACTTAGAATTGAAGAGACCTTCTGTGTCACCTACCGGGTATCCAATAAGTTACCAAAGTTGTCTAGATGGAGAACACTGAAAACAGCAGAGGTTGTAGAAATTCGCTTACATCAACCGGATCTCTGCGTGCAAAAGAAACAGGTTCAGCTGGTCACTGTTGTTACCCTGGTCTACTGTCAAGCCTATACCTTAGTAAATCCTATGTTACCTCCCTTAGTTTGTCTGGTATTGACTTATTTTTGTGTTATATTGATGAACACCATGTCTCTGTTTTACTGATGCTTTCGAAATATTATCACCTGTGGATAGTACTGATTCAATGCAATTTAAGACATCATTGGTCATGTTAATAACAATAATTTTTCCATTATCATGGTCATATAAATGTAGACTTTGATGACGAATTTATTGAGAGGACTAACTAACTGGTTTCAACGTAGAGCTTTGCCAAGATTTTCAGCAGTTCGAGTTGCCAAACTCCTACAATGTAGCACACAAAGGAAAGGAAAAGAATAAAAAGATGCTCAACAGACAGAAATAATAAACAGAAATATGAGGCAAAAAGAATAGTAATATGGAAGAACAATAGAATTTTCTGGGATATTATAAATCACGAATAGTGAATGCATCTACACCAATGACAAAGATTTTGAGCCATATCAGCAATCGTCTGCAGCCATTGGTTTTTACCATCCTCAGGACCCCAACCAGCCAAGAAGTCTACACCTCCCCAAGTGGCTGCCTGTTTGAAACTAACTGTGATGGATTTCATTGATTGACGAAGTCATGTTTTGGTTTGACTACTACTACTACTAGCTAACTCTTTTCCAGCTTGATCCGTCCTATGTCATGTCAGCTAACATTCCCCAAAGAGGAAAGCGATGGCTAGCAATGCATGCCTAACACATGTCCTAATCATCTCAGTCGATTCACCTTCACAACTTCATCGATTGATTTCCCCTCCCGACTACCTACCTACCTACCTAGCACTCGACCGACACCTAACCTCAATATTGCTCACCCTATTATATTATACTGCTTAACACGGGAGATAGAACGCAGACACCTATGATCAAAGACAGCAAGCCAGCCTTTTCATGTCTTCCACTTTCAATGGCTAGGTCTCGCTCACAACAACAAAGGAGGACGGAGAGGATTGCTTAGCAGTACACACGCCCTTTGGTCGACAGCCAGCCGGATATCACGTCTACCAAGCCAGAGATGGCGTAAGTTTACATACGCCAAACGCTGAGTTTTCGTCAGCGATTAATCCGCTGGCACTGGCTGATGCAACTCTCCAAATAAGTGAAGTGATTAACATGCTCTACCAAAAGAATAATTTTTGTTTGTTAATCGGCCTTTTTAATTTTTAATAGCGTGTTCAATCAGTTAATTAAAACACAAAATACGCACCAAATTACTACTATCAAATAAAATAAAAAGCAAACAATATCGTCCATCACAGAAAGAAAAAATTGTCAAATAGTACACTGGATACGAAATCATAATACCCACAAGGTATTTTTCATTGCTTGGGGTTAAAACTCTGAATTATGGGACAAACAGTTTTGATGAAAGACCTGATATTGTTCATTTACAATGAGACACATGTAAGTGAAATCATAATATCTCACTGCTTAGATAAAACGGATAATCCGGTATACACAGATTATATATATATATATATATATATATATATATATATATATATATATCAGATAAGCGTAAATTATCCAATGGGAACTGTCCATAAATATGACATCCACAATATAAGGTATTAAAGTACCGAAGGCAAATGATACGTTGCCAAGCTACTTACTTAGGAATGCGGAAGGAGTAAAAGTTTGAAAAACAAAAAAAATAAATAATACACTTTACTACTACTACTACTACTACTACTACTACTACTACTCTATTTCATTACCAGATAGTATTTACCCCACTTTATTTTATTATTTAACACTAAATATAATAAGCGGCTCAAAAAGTACTTACATTTTTATAAAAATGTAGGTCATTTTTGAAAAAAAACATTTATATTCATAGTTATTTTATTAGTTCATTGTTAACATATTTTAGAATTTACGACTTCGAAATCACATGATTATCAGTAAAAGTTATGTATTATGTGATTAGAACAGAGATATACGCTGAGGAGACTATCGAACGATATTGTGCGCAGTGCAGGCCATGATTACTCGAGTGGAACCTGAATGGGAAAGGATGAGATTGGCATGTGTCCGCGGGTGACATGGAGAGAATTGTGTGTGTGAGGACGAGGAGATAAGAAACGATGGGCAATCATGGGGAGCCCAGATGAAGAGGATACTAGAGAACAGGGTGAAATGGAGATGTTCCGCTTAATCCCTGTGTTCCACTCGGAACGAAAGAGAACGATAATAATATACCTGGAGCAGATTTCCTACTTGTCAGACTATAAGCCACACTTCATATATGAAGGTTAATGATACTAACCAATTACGCAAGCTGATGTAGGTACCATGGAATTCAATCCCGATGTCCACTGATTGAAAATAGTCTATTTCAGCCAGTGACTCACACCTCCGCATTAAACTGAGGTGTACTATATTGTTTTATATAATAGAGGAGTTCAGTGGTAGGAATCTCGTCAAACATTGAGGTGCTCTAGAATTCGATTCCCAGTCGACCCGCTCTTTAATCCCCCTAGCCAGAAAAGATCAGCAATAGGGATATCTGGGAACGAACCAACCCAGCAGGAACAGATTGTACAGCAAATGTGTAGGAAGAAATGGAGTTGGATTGGCCATACTCTGAGAAAACCATCAAGAGAGTGACATCACAAGCCAGGAAGTCACACAAGTAGAACTTGAATGGGAGGCGGTGAGTTGGTTGTCAGTGTGAGTGTGACATGTAGGAGATCATGTGAAGAGGAGATGAAAGCATGTGGGCAGACCTGGAGCCAGGTGGAAACGTTGGCAGAGAACCGAACGCAATGGAGACGCATGGCTGAAGCCCTATGTTCCTCTAGGAACTAAAGGAAACAATAATTATAATATAATTCATATCTACTTTAATTATTCAATAACGCACGTACAAATAGTGAATTTACTATTAAACATGAAAATAATGGAAATTTTCATTTCCTTGACACTGCCATACAACGCCTAGAAGACGATAGTCTTCAAAAGTCAATTTATCGAAAGCCCACATGGAAAGGCCAATACTTACATTTTAATAGTTTTTTTCCCAAATAGCTGTAAACGAGCACTAGTCAAATCTCTGTTCTATAGAGTCGGGAGAATATGATCTACAGACAAATTAGAGGAAGAAATTCCGATTCTCGAAAAAATGTCTACAAACAACGGTCACTAACATTCACGGAAGATACGAAGGTTCAAATGTTAAACAAATCATAGTGTGGAAAAGGCCTATCTTCATTCAACTCGATTTTAAAGGTGATAATATAGCAGGAATATTCAATAGAATATTGAATATCTCAATAACCAGAAAATATCCTGCGGCTAAGTTGGTTCCCATCTATCGAACAACATCTATGCTTTTGGATACAATCAAAAGTCGATAGATACTCTTCTCATGTGAATTCTAACTGTGTATACACAAATTCACATGTATCTGAGGGAGCAGTTAGATTATGAGAACAGATAGATGGATACACCATTGATTTCCCGAACATGTAGCTAAAAGCCTACGTCTCAAGGAGACAAACGCTTTCAACAGTGACATTGCTATGCATCTTCTTGATACGAGTCATGAGGTGAACATCGCAAGATCCTTCAAAATTATCAATAGACCAAAGAGCTCAATTCTCCTCAAGTTTGTCAAAGCAATCTCTACCAAACACCTGAAACCCAGTTTATGTGTTCAGAAAGAAGCAGTTATCAGCAGTCTCATCTTGCCCATCCTGGTAACTCGATGTCTCTCATTATTAATGCTCTTCATTCGATTACGTGTGCGTCGGTGGCACAGCGGTTAGGTCGCTCGCCGACCATGCACATGGTTCGGGGTTCGATCCCCGGCCACCGACGCACTCCTTTACCTCGCAAGCCATAAATAATGCTGGTAAAGAGGAAAGGTTGGGCATGAGGCTAGCAACCCTATCCTGTAAAAATTAAACACTGCTACAGAAACTTCAAGCCACTAGCTTGAGGCCCTATGTTCCACTGGGAATGTGAAGGAAAAACAAAAAATTCGATCACGTAATCTCCGGCTTTACACCTCTTGTCTCTTTTATGTAACTCCTTTACCATTGTATGCAACCATTGATTTTTTTTTGTTTAAACCTAAATTCTCGGGGGAAGTATATATTGAAACAGTTCTGTGCATAAAACTAATGATGTCTTTATGCTGTCAGCAGCTGATGGATGAGAAGTCATTTTATTCTGCACAAATCACTGTTGTTGTTGTTCTTGCTTTATTCAAATTCCAATATACTCAATAAAGCTTCATTTGTATCAATAACAAGAACGCAGAGGTATTAAAGTAATTATATGAATTATAAATCGACAAAGCAGGTGGTTAGTAATTTACAATGTACTGAAAAGACATTTGTTTATCAATGACTTCATTCATTATTTGAAGTGGAAATTCAGTGTGTTAAGTATACTGAATAAACATTTACATAATAATATATGGTACACAAAGTGAAAGAAATACTCCACACCACAGCATAGTATTTTTGAGACAAATAAACCAAAATAGAAGCAAGTAGTGAATTTTTCAAGATCAGAAAACTAGATCGGTTGATGCTGAAGGGAATGTGACAAACAGCTTCAGTAAAACCGGGGGTAGGAAGTAAAAGAATATTTCAGTCAAAAATTCCCGATTCTATATATATATCATATACCTGTATAAAAAGAAAAACTGATAAACAAGAATCATCTTACCAATTTTAATCGATTACCCGCCAATTGTAGAGCTTTAACTGCTTCACTATGCGTAGCACCAATCAAACTGATCCCATTGACGGAGAGAATTCTATCACCAAGCCTAAAAATGGAATAATACACAATATGCAATGTATATTAACTACTGCTTAATGAGAACATTTTAGAAGAAAAATATGAGAACTAGAGAAATGAAGCTTTTTACTGGTAATTTATGCGATATAAAATAATATCCTGCTTGGAAATCTATTTTTCGCATTATCTACTCGAACCTATGAGCAGCCGCGTAAGAGAGTAGTGTGAGTTGACACTTGAAGTGATGACAACCTGTGGTATCCGTTAGGGATGCCCACTATAAACATTTCTGTTTAATTTCTTCATAGATGTACTAATGCAATCAGTGACTCAAGGATTGACTTGTCTTATTGACTTAGAATATGCGGATGAAATAGTTCTCCTAAATGAAGACACTGATAAAATGCACAGTCTTCTACACACCTTTAGCAGCAGTCTTTGAATGTTTGACATGATATTTGCTCCTGCCGCCAAATGTAAGATGATGCTACATGACTGGACGACATCGACTTCTAGCTTAAAGACAGAGAGTGAAGTGGTAGCTGAGTGTGGTGACTACTTTCACTTATTTGGGGAGTTACATCAGGCAACGTCAGTGGGTTGATCACTGACGAAATCTCAGCACGGATACAAAAGATTTTCTTAGGAATTTGTCAACTTACACCATCTCTAGAGTAGATGTCATAGCCAGCCGGCTATCATTCATAGTACATGTTTACTACTACTGAACAGTTCGTTCCATCCTCTTTGTGTCTGTGAGGGAGACATTGCCATTGAAAGTGGAAGATACGAAAAGGCTAGATATCTTTTATCATAGGTGTCTGCATTCTATCTTCTGTGTTAAGTGTTATAATAAGATGAGCAATATTGAGGTTAGGCATCGGTCGAGTGCTAGATAGGTGGGAGGGGAAATCAATCGTCGACGTTGTGAAGTTACACCGACTGAGATGGTTAGGACGTGCATTATGCATGCATTGCAAGCCATCGCCTTCCACGACAGGCAATGTTACCTAAAATAGGATGAATCAGGTTGTAAAACAGCTAGTAGTGGCCAAACCGAAAAATAGCATCAATGCATGCATTGATTGCAGTTGGTTTGAGCCAGCGATGTAGGGAGGGGTAGACTTCCTGTCTGAGGTTTTCCGGATGGTAAAAGACAATTGAGACAAACAGTGATATGGTTCTAAATCGTTTTCCACGGCGCAGATGCATTCACTCTTTGTTTTCTGTCGTATGGTACATTAACTTCAGCAACTCGAACTAGTGCACATCAATAAGTCAGTCAGTCAAGCAATCATTTTCCCATTGTATTGATTTAATCTACCAATTTTCAGGAAACTAAATAACTGACTGACACAGGTCTTTCTTTTCTGGTCATTTACGCCTTAATAACTATTGTTATGAAGCATGAAACTATTAAAGATGATGAGAAACTCTTTAACACGACATTGTGAATCATCATGATGAAGTAGACAAAAGACGGAATTAAAGCAAACTAGTATTTTGTTCTCTGTCCCCCCTACCCACTCTCAACAATTCGCGTAAAAAAAATAGTATGATTAGTATATCAGTAACAGGATCGTTTATTGTTTGCTAGAGAGGAAAATTAACTTTGTATCACGCACAGTGATATATCTATATATGCATATTGTTATTACTATTTATATTATTTATTACTCCCTTGGGTTTCAAGTGGAACATAGGGCTTCAACAACACATCTCCACTCTCTGCTATTCTCTGCTGTGCCTTTCAGCTGGGGCCACGATTGACCATAATCTCTCATCTCCCCTAGACTCCCAGGGTCTCCTCAAAGTCACCCTCGCACTGACGACCCACTCGCCGCTTCCCATTTGAATCCCACTCGAGTGACGGCCTGAATTGCGCACGATATCATTCGATGGCATCCTCAACATATGACCGATCCATCTCCATTTTCTCCTACATAATTGTTGAGCAAGCGGCTCTCACCAATTGCTTTGTTCCCAGCCAGAGTTTCTTGGTGCTAATTCTTTCTAGCCGACATTTGATCTTCATTATGGAGCCAGCGAAAGCAGCTGCTGATAAATGTCTGCAGTAGCCTGTTGGAAATCCTCTTCTTGACACGTGTTGCAAGTTTCTAACCCGTATAAACGAATTCACTGAGTGACTTCTCATCTGTGTTGAAAATCTGAATCTTGTTCTTTATGAAAACTGAGTGCATAAGATTTCTAACTGGTTTTTATTTTTCTTTATTTTTTTATTATTTTTGATTACAGCTTGATTCCATATCGTACTTTTGGTACAAGTATGAAATTTTCAGCATGTGATATCTGTAGCCCAAATTTAGCAGGCCGACCAATTGATATCAGGTGTGTGTCGGCAGATGATCGAACACCCGACCATTTTCATGGTCGGTGAGAGTCCTAACCGCTGTGCCACCGACACACAGGTTGGCGAAGGCGTATCTTGCCTTTCCGATTCTGGCTGGCTACCTTTGACATCTTCATCCGTTCCTACTGCCTGGGGTTGAAACAATGCTTCCTAGCCAGATAAGTGAAGGAAGTAACCTCTGTCAAATCTCGCCCGTTGATGGTGATTTGTGCTAGTTGTTGTTGTTGTTGATTGATTGATTTATTAACGTCATCACTTCCGTCTTCTCTCTCTCCCCATATATATATATATATATATATATATATATATACAAGCAAGCAAAGTAATCAAAATAGAATGAGGCAAATAAAGGATAAAGGAAGGCACAAGTTATAAATGTGAATCGGAAAGCAGATATATGTATATATATATCACATGCTTTTTACTATCATCTATTTTCTTAAGTATTTTATTTTCCTTCAATTGTACATTATCACATGATATATATATTTAGGAAGAAGTTCCTCTCCAAATACAAAAATCATAAATAACAATACACAGAGATTAGGGGATGATGATGATCATGATGATAACATGTCACAATGAATAAAGGCAGTTGAAGAATCAAGAAATGCATCCCAAAGTTCACATTGATGAAAGTGAACGCCAATGTTTAACTCAACTAAAAAACTGTACAACGTATACGGATACATGGATGATACTTTTTTGATTATGAAGAACGAACAGGATGCAAAGAACATCCTGGATAAATTTAATGAGGTACACCCTGCAATAAATTTTACTATTGAGAAAGAAAAAGACTCTAGTATTTCATTTCTAGACGTCCTTATGACCAGAAAAGAGGATGGCACAATAAGAAGAAGTGTTTATAGAAAACCTACATCAACGGGCCAGTACACACATTTTCTCAGCTTTGTGCCCTTGAAATACAAACGCAATCTAATAAAGTGCTTGGTCCACAGAGCAAGAGAGATTTGCTCAGATGAATGTCTTGACGAGGAGCTTAACAATATTAAACGGTTACTAAGTGAGAATGGTTATCCCGAAAAGTTTATTGATAAGACTATGAATCTAAAACCAAAACAGTCCAAGGTACCAACAGTTCCAAAAAAGGCCTTGTTCTTACAGATGCAGTTCCTAGGAGACAACACCAGTGAGATACTAACACAGCGCCTTAGAAATGCGGTAAAAAGAGCATTCTCTGCTGCTGAATTACACTGTATCTTTAAAACCACTCCTCTTCTGCGTTCGGGAATAAAAGACAAACTGCCTAATTTCGCCTCTTCCATGTGTATATACCAATTTAACTGCTCCTGTGGAGCCAGTTACATAGGCCGTACAACTAAGCGTGTTTCGCGTCGAATTTCTGAACATCACCCTGCCTGGTTAAGCAAAGGTCAAACAAAATCTATTCGCAGCGCTATTCTGTCTCGTCTTGTGCATGCAGAACACAAGATTGACGTTAATCATGCTTTCAGGGTCATTTACCGCATACCTACGAATCTCAATTTCGCTTTAAGAGTTCGACTTCTAAATATTGCTGAGGCTGTGGGGATTCATATTAATAAGCCTAATTTATGCACCCAAAAGAAGTTAGTTCAGTCATTATCATTACCTTGGCCATCCAGGTTTTTGAATAATCCAGAATTTTTGTGAAATTTCCCTAATTTTAGTTGATATTCTATTCGCTGTTATATCTTTATTATTATTATAATTTAAGCATCTTTAATGAACTGCAATAGCATTGATCTTACTTTACAAATCGATATTATTAAAAAAAAGCTAATATTGTTACTAACTACTAATTTAAAATATTCTCTGTATATAAACATATATATAACTGTAGAGCCTGGAAGAGGAATTTATCGAAAAGAATATTCTTTGCTCGATTATTTTGTGTTTTAATTCCAAGAGTATTTATTAGTCAACAAGGGTGAAAACAATACTCAGAACCTTTATATACTTATTTCTCTTTATGAATTTGAATAAAGTATAAAACCGACGATTTGTGCAGAATGAGATGATACTGTCGCTTACATTTCATCGGTGTTTCTAGTGAGCAGTCATGACCACTGGGGTCTATGATTTTCAAGCGTAAGGAGAAATACTCCCCAACAACATTGGCTGGTTATCGTGCTAAAAAATCACGAATTGGTAGATGTTGCACTTCGTAGACCACTGAAACGGATCCCACAAGGGTTGAATGGTCTACGAGCTCTTCTTGCAACCGGAAGGTGCTGGGTTCCAACACTGATGGTTGGGTAATGCTGAAGAGTCTAAAACGTAGACAAAAATGTTGCCTCAAACGTTGCTACCCAAATTTTCTAATCATTTTCTAACTGATGTCAGATCATGATCAAACTTAAAACTTATTCCTTTTGATCCATATGAGATGATATGACTTTTGCCGATCAAAATACGGAATCTATGCACATCTTATGCACACGATTTCTGAAAATTCACAAAAGCATTTTGAGCAAAAGAAGACCAGAGAAAGAGCGACAGAAAGAAGCATGTCTAATGATTTCGCTTCTCTCCTACTTCTGATCCCATCACTAACTAATATTTCCCCTCCCACTCATATGAACATAAATCACTTGCTCTATTACAAATGCAGACAACCTAATCCTCTTGCTGTTGTTGTTGGTGGTAGTGGT